CCCCCCCCCCCCCTGCACCCTTTCACCTTGTCCCAACTCACGCACCTCAACTGGAAACGAGGTCAGGACGGCGGCGGTGCGTGGCCGCTCGCGGTCGGGTTCGCTGGTCGGCGGCGGGCAGAAAATCCCCATTGCGCTGCGAGTCAAGACGCTCACCGAGCCGCGGCTGCTGATCAACATCCGAGCCATCCAAAAGACGCTGCAGGCTGAGGATGAGGACAAGGCGCGGCGACTGCAGCGGGAACAGACCGAGCTGCGGAATTTGAAGGAGGAGCTGACCAACTCGATCAAGCAAAACTACATTCTGGAACGCGACAACAAAGAGATCGACTCGCGCATCGGGCTTCTTATCCAGAACCGGGTCACTGTGCAAGAGGTCATTGCCCAGACGCAGCGGATGGCGTCGTCGGCGTCCGAGGTCTCGGACGCTGCGCTGCCGCAGGCCAAGCGCGAGCTGTACTCGTCGCTGTTCTACTTGCTCCAGCGCGAGCCCAACTATCTCGGCATCTTGCCCAAAGTGGTCAAGCTCTCGCAGACGCCGGCGTTTATCCAGGCTGTGGCCTTTACGCTCTTTGGTGATCAGTACTCGGCCCGCGAGGAACTGCTCCTGCTCTCGGTTTTCCGCCGCGCGCTGCAGGAAGAGTTCAACGAGTCGACGTCGATGGGCTCGCTGCTCCGCGGCAACTCTGCGGTGACCAAGATGATCCGCGAGTACACGCGGCGTGATCCGGGCCAGGCCTATCTGGAGAAGACGCTCTCGGGCGTGCTCGAGGCGTTTGTGGCGTCAGACCCCGAGTCGTTTGAGATTAACCCGGCCAAGGTCGCCAAGAAGCTCATCAACGAGGAAGAGGTGGCGACCGGGGTCAAGTCTACGCTCGCCGAGGTGCCCGAGGCCGAGCGGAGTAAGGACCCGCGCGTGGTCGCCGTCATCGAGCCGCGCATCCAAATGATCATGGCGCAGTGTGAGGTGTTCATGAAGCAAGTCCTCAGCTCGCTCGAGGACATGCCGTACGGCATCCGGTGGCTCGCCAAGCAAATTGCCATCATGACACAGGAGCGGTTCCCCGAGGCGTCACGCAAGGCGCGGGCAACCATGATCGGTGGCTTTGTCTACTTGCGGTTCATCAACCCGGCCATTGTCACGCCCGATGCCGACTCGTACAAGCTGGTCAAGAACAAGCTCACCGCCAAAGTCCGGCGCAACCTCGTCCTCGTTGCCAAGGTCCTGCAGAACCTCTCCAACTTTATCCTGTTTGGCGACAAGGAGGCGTACATGCTCCCGCTTAACGCCTTTATCGAGCAGTACACCGAGCCGCTGACCCAGTTCTTTGAGAACTTGACCGACGTGCCCGAGCTCGAGGAGTACCTCAAGCTGGACCACCAGTTTGTCGACGTGGCCTCGAACCAGACGCCAACCATCACTATCTCGCTCAACGAGATCTACCTCATCCACGCTCTGCTTGCCGACAACATGGCCGAGGTGGCCGGCGACCTCGACGACCCGATCCGCGACATCATGGCTAAGCTCGGCGAGGCTCCGCCGCAAGTCAAGAACTCGCAGAACGAGGCCGTCGTTCTCTCGCTCGTCCCGCCGCAGGGCCTCTCCTACACCGACACTCTCGACGAGAACGCCGCCGCAAGCAACTTGTACGATGAGACTAAGCAGGCAGTCCAGGAGCTGCTGACCCGGCTCGACTCGCATGCCATTCCGTTCTCCATCCACCACACGCTCGAGACCCTCATCGAAGCCGCCCACGAGTCACTCCTCCGCGCGCCTGACGCAAAGCTTGAAGCCCTTGTCACCACCATCGAGGACAAGCTCTCGGCGCTCGAGGCTGAGGGCGTGCTCTCGCGCAATGACTCGCACTCGCGCATGCTGGAAGACATCTCGCGCGAGACCGAGAACCGCGCCTCCTTTGAGGAGTCGCTCGCCAAGGATCGCGCTAAGATCGAGCGCACCCTCGAGCGTGTTCGCTCCCACCACCAATTCCTGCTCTCGCAGCTCGAGTCGTACAACCAGTATCTGCAGAACGTCCGCTCGCAGCCGTCCGACGCCGCCGGCAAGTCCAAGTCCAAAAAGAAGAAAAAGAAGGACAAGGCCGGCGCAACCGTCGGCCCGTTCAAGGTCTCCCACGACAAGCTCCTCAAGGACGGCGTCATTGCCGAGTCGTTTGTGCCCGACGCCCGCCGCAAGAAAACCGTCCTCGTCTTTTCGTCTGATGAGCCTGGGGTCATTGTTTGTGCCGCCTATTTTCATGGCTTTCCCGTCGATCGCTACCAGTTTGAGCTCGAGGACCTGCTTGAGCGACAGGAGAACGACGAGCGGGTCATCCGCCTCGAGTACGTCGTCCTCGACCTCAACATCTTTCTGCACACCATCAACAAAATGTTCGGCTTTTGAGCTCGGGACCGGTGCTCCAGCTCGAGGTAAATCGCTGCCTTTACACCTCACTTGCGGTTGGCCTTGCGCTTGGCCTTGCGCTCGGCCCTGCGCTTCTTGACCCGCCCGGCCTTGCGAGCAGCGCTCACCAGCGCGGCGTCCTTGTCCTGGAGAGCGGCGGTGGGAACCGAGGAGATGGCATCGCGGCGGCGCGGGACCTTCTTCAGCGAGCGGCGCAGGTCGCGGCGCGGGCGAGCGAGCTCAACCATCCAGTCGGGCACGTCGCCGCCGGCAGCGCGAACAATGGTGGCGATCGGCCGGAGCATGGGCTTGTCGACCTCGGTGAAAAAGGTGACGGCGCGGCCGGTCCGGCCGGCGCGGCCGGTCCGGCCGACCCTGTGGATGTACTCAACGGTCGACGAGGGAAAGTCGTAGTTGACCACGACGGCGACGCCGGCAAAGTCCATGCCGCGTCCCATGAGCTCGGTGGTGATGAGGAACCAAATCTTGCCGCGCCGAAAGTCGCGCACAATCTCCTCGCGCTGCGGCGTGGTTTGGTCCGAGTGGATGACGTCGACCTTGATGTCATCAAACACCATTTCCTGGTACAGCTCCTTGGCGCGGTCTTTGGACTGCACAAAGATGAGGACCGGCGGAAGGACGCCGCGCGCCACAAGCTGCCGCAGAGCAAGCAGCTTGCCTTCCTCGCGTCCCACAAAGATCAGCTCTTGCGAGACAGACGAGTTGGCCTGCATGCGGGCGCCGACCACAACTCGGACCTCGTTGACCAAGACCGCGCCCGAGAGCTCCTCGACGTGGCTCGGAACGGTGGCCGAGAAGAACGCCCGTGAGAGCTGCAGCGACGCATTGTGCTCGCCGCTGGCCTCGGCTTCGGCGCGCTCGTGCTGCTTGAGCAGCGTAAAGATGTCGTCGATCTGCGAGATAAAGCCTTCGTCAAAGAGGCGGTCGACCTCGTCGAGGACAAACCAGAGCAGGTGCGAGATGGCGACGTTGGGGTGGGAGAGGAAGACGGCGCCACGCCTGGGCGTCGAGACCACCACGTCGACCGCCGCCACAGGCTGTGGCCCGCTCAGCCGGAGCTTATGGCCCTCGGTCACCCGCAGCCGCTTGCGCCCAGCTAGCTTGACAAACTCGCTCGCAATCTGGGTCGTCAGCTCGCGCGTCGGTGCCACCACCAGTGCCATCGGGTAGCACGTCTTGCCCGAGGTCTTGCCGTCGGCCACAGCCTTCTTGATTCGCTTCGACCGCCGCTGCGCCGCGTTCGACAGCAACTTGGCGATGACCGGGATGCAGAACGCGGCCGTCTTGCCCGACCCGGTCGGGGCGCAGGCAAGCACGTCACGCCCGGCAAGCATGACCGGAATGACCGACCGCTGAATGAGCGTCGGTCGGCTGTACTTGGCGGCAGCAATGTTGGCCAGAATCGGCGGCTTCACCTCGCCCTCCAGATCCTCAAAGTACGAGATCGGATGCGGTGCCGAGTCGCCGTATACCGTCACCCGATCCCCTGCGCCCGACGAGGACGAGCCAGAGCCAGCAGACGAATCGTAGTCGGAGGACGAACCGTAGCCGGAGGACGAACCGTAGCCAGATGCCGATGCCGATGCCGATGCCGAAGAGGGCGGCGACGATAACGATGGTGATGATGACGACGACGACGACGACGAAGACGACGACGACGCCCGCTGAGCCCGCTTTGCCCGCTTGGACGACTTGCCGCCGTCCGATGGGGATGAGCTTCTCTTCCGCTTCTTAACCTTCTGGTGGACAGTAGAGTTCGACGAGCGGCTGTCGGTCTTTGTAGAGCTGGCTGATCCCTTGCTCTTGCCCTTGCCCTTGCCCTTGCCCTTGCCCTTGCCGCTGGCCTTGCCTGTCTCCTTGACCACGATCAGCCCATCCTCACCATCCATGGACGACGGACGGGAGGAGCGGGACGGGCGAGCTGTGCCAAAGAAGTCAAGAGCAGCAGATTGGACAGAGAGTCCCTTGGCAACATTGCTGTTGCTCCTGGCTGTCTTTGTCTTCCCGCTTCCCGCGAGAACCGTACGCCAGGCGTCAGCTGGTGGAAGGTGTCCATGCTGAGTTGGGTGTCTCCGCCGCTCTCGCTCTCGCTCTCTCTCGCCGCCCTGCTGCTGCCGTCATTTGTCGCTGATGCCGAGTACCCGCAGCCTGCAGCTGATTCGATCGATGATTGTGATGGAAGGAGGAGAGGTGGAAGGGGAGAGGGGGGAAGATATGGAGGAGGGGGAGGGGGAGGGAGGGGGAGGTTGGGTGGCTTTGGATGTGTTGTTGGGCGGATGGTGGTGGGGGTGGTGGCGGTGGTGGGATGGAGATAGTACGTCGTCGGGTCTCGTGGAACGCGCAAAGAGGATGGTTCATTTCATCCTCGGCAAAAGGACGAGATGAGGGGTGGGGTGGGACTAGGCGTCGGCGAGGGGGTTGAGGACGGTGCGGGTGAGTGACTTGCCCTCGCCCTTTGCCACCATGACCACGAGTGATATCCGCAGCAGTGCATCGTCGTCAGCAGCAGCGGCGCCAGTGCCGGATGCCGAGGTAGGCGCAGCAGAGCCTTCATCCATGTCGCCCTTGGGAGCCTCTGGTGCCGATCCATGGAGAGTCAACCGGAGCAGGCCCATGTTGAGCAGACGCGATCTCTTGAAGCCAGACAGATCCATGCCCTCTGAGGCCAGCTCGACCGAGATCTTGGTGCCTGCAGCATAGTCCCTCGGCCCCAGCGTGTCCAGCTCGACTGAGGCATGCTTGCCAACATGATCGATCTCGTAGCTGAGCGACCAGACGCCGTCGGTGATGGTCACCACCGGGGTGAAGTCGAGGACGAGGGTAAGGGCGTCCCCAAGACCACCGCATACACCTCGCGTCACCTCTAGCTTGTCCACATGTACAATGGTCTCTTCGTCGCAGTTGGCAGTCATTGAGTTGGTGGTGGTGGCGGGGTGAGGTGTGGCGTGGTGGCGGTGGCGGCTGTGGTGGTGGGCGGTGGGCGGCGACAGGCGACGGGCGACGGGGGGGGGGGGGGGGGGGGGGCGGTCGACGAGCCGATGAGGACACAAAGGGGATGGCAGATGCTTTATCAGTTGGTCTTGGACTCTTCGTTGGCAATCATGGCGGCATTGACCGCAGCTTGGATGTTGTACTTGTGGTAGGTGTCGTAGCCGGAGAGGATGGAGATGGCGGCCATGTTGAGAATGATGTCAACTGAGATGGCAAAGTCGTAGCCGCGCTTCCACTCGAGGGTAAAGCCTGCAGCAAGGCCGAGGCCAACCAGATCCGAAGTCAGCTTGGTCCGGTCGACGTTCTTGTTGATCCGCCGCTTGACAATGACGGTAAACTTGGCGTCGGCCGGCTGAGGGTGATGCTCGAGCCAGGCGGTGAGGAGCGCGCCGGTCTTGGCCACAATCCGCTCCAGCTTGGGCTTGGTCGTCACATGAACAGGAACGATGCGCGAAATGTACTGGGTGCCGTTGACCGGCGCGGACGCGATCGCGTCAAAGCAAAAGTTGATGAACCCGTCCGGCTGCGCCACGAACGGATCGGTTGGCTGCGTGCCAACAAAAAACGTACCCTTGACCTTGGTTTCCAGATTGCGGAAGGTCAGCTTGTCCTTCTTGGCCAACGCCTCAAACTCGGCATCCATAGCAGCCTCGAAATCGATCTCGCCGCCGTCATCGTTGTCCTCCTTGGCCACACTCGACGGGGCACCAGCCGAGCTCGGCTTGGTGGCCTTGCTGTCGTCTTTGCTGTCATCGCCGCCAGCTGTCTGATCGCGAGGCACAAGCGGGAGCGGATGCGCCTCGGCCCAGGCCTTGCCTTTGTCCGACGCCACCCAGTCCGCATACCGCGAGTGGAGATAGGCCTTGCCCGAGCGGACAGCGAGACCCATAACTCCAGTCTCGCACGTCATCAGCACACCATGATCTCCATCGGCCCATTCTTCACGAGCACCACGCTTGCTCTGTCACGCATCACCACCACCACCATCATCATCATCATCATCATCATCATCGTCATCATCATTCCCAAGCGTCGTCGTCCCGTCACACCGCAAGGTCGTCGCAACCACAAGCAGCAGATCCCCCGCCCCGTCGACCACCAATCGGTAACAGCCCCATATCACAGCATATTGCAGCATGGCACCATCCATCCATCCATGATTACGTGAGTGACCACCAGTGCGCCATTCAGCCCTCCCGCCGTCTCCCCTCGCACTCGGTCACTGTCTCTCTTGCCGGCAGCACCCCGCCCATGACTGCCTCACCGCTTCCCTCCCTCTCTTGGCCACATACCTTCCCCCTGTGTAGTAGCTCTTGTTGTGCTTCTTCTTCTTGCGGGCAGGGCCACTGCCAGCTGGTCCTCCTGCTTCCCGCTTGCCCTTGTTTCCACCAGATGACGACATGGCGATGAGTGTCCCCTCTCCGGGCCGACTACCGGGCCCGAGCTCTTGTCCAACGCAGCCACCACCCGATCGAACTCGCTGCAGCACGCACCCGCCATCAAACCCTGCCAACACCATACACAGCCAACACATACCAATAGCGACCATTGTGGTGCGCCCATTCACCCTGATCGGCCTGGCATCCGGCTGCCCGACTGGGCTGCCGGCCAAGCAAGCCGGACGAGTGAAAGCCGACCGATCGAACTCGCTGCAGCACGCACCCGCCATCAAACCCTGCCAACACCATACACAGCCAACACATGCCAATAGCGACCATTGTGGTGCGCCCATTCACCCTGATCGGCCTGGCATCCGGCTGCCCGACTGGGCTGCCGGCCAAGCAAGCCGGACGAGTGAAAGCCGACCGATCGAACTCGCTGCAGCACGCACCCGCCATCAAACCCTGCCAACCCCATGCACAGCCAACACATGCCAATAGCGACCATTGTGGTGCGCCCATTCACCCTGATCGGCCTGGCATCCGGCTGTCCGACTGGGCTGCCGGCCAAGCAAGCCGGACGAGTGAAAGCCGACCGATCGAACTCGCTGCAGCACGCACCCGCCATCAAACCCTGCCAACACCATACACAGCCAACACATGCCAATAGCGACCATTGTGGTGCGCCCATTCACCCTGATCGGCTTGGCATCCGGCTGCCCGACTGGGCTGCCGGCCAAGCAAGCCGGACGAGTGAAAGCCGACCGATCGATCTGTGGCGGAATGGCAGTGGTATCTTTGGCGGCTGCGCTGGCAGAGGGCACCCGACTATGCGCCGGTCGTTCTCACCGTACTCCCCCCTGGTGGGAGGAAGCGTGGGGCATCCCCACGCATGCGACGGACTGGAGTGGTTGTTCCTAATGGAGGAGAGGGACAGTCCCGAGGTGGAGGAAGACCACCCGCTCCCCGCACCCGCAGCTGGCACACCACCCGCAACCGCAACGAGGACCACCACCTTCGCGGCCAAGGCCATCATCATCTGGTATGACACGACCAAGGACGGCAGAAGCAAGCTATGCAAAGCCTCTGCGCATGCGCAAGCAAGCAGACTCCAACCCGCACAAGAAGTACTACCATGATCAAGAGGCTCAGTTTGAGGAGATTCAGGTACGTTCTCGTGTCCCCCCCCTCCCCCTCCCCCTCCCCCTCCCCCCCTCTCCTCCCTCCGTACCACTGCCGCTATCGCGCTACCCTCTGCTGGCTGCTCTGCTCAACTTTGCGCCGGTCAGGCAAAGAGTTGGGCACTGCGGAATTGTCCCGTTGGAGGTTGCCCTTTTTCAGAGACTGGCGGTTTTCGGCAGGGCGAGGTGCGAGAGGCGATGTAGACCGATAGCAGACGATGTGTTGTGTGGTTGATCGATCTCTGTGCTGCACTCACTCTCGCTCTTGCTCTGATCTGGTGGGTACGACACCGGTTGCAGCGGCTGAAACGGCGGCTCAAGGAAGTGGTGCTAGAGCGGAACGAGGCCAGGACGCTGCAGAAGCAGGCCGAGGAGGAGACGCTGCGGGTGCGGCGGAAGCTGGACGAGGTGCTTGGCGCCAAGCTCGAGCTCGCCCCCGGCGGCTCGACTCGTGGCCTTTCCACCATCAAGCGCGAGCAGCGGCTCATTGTCTCGCTCAAGCGCAAGGTCAAGGAGCTCAAGCAGGAGCTGAAGAAGGCACGCCAGCAAAACGATGCGCTCTCGCGCGATGCGCGGCACGTCCGTGTTGCTGAGCTCCAGATGGAGCTGCACGCGTACTATGAGGAGACCCGGCGGCTGCAAGCTCTGGTCGACGCCGGCCACGCCCACAGCGGCTGGGCCGGTGGCCGCGCCGGTGATGAGTCCGGGCCGTCCCCGCCCATGTACGAGGAGGCGCTCGCCCGCAACAAGGAACTTGACGAAGCACTCGAGGTGGCTGTCGACAAGAACTACCGCCTCAAGAAGCTGTGCAAGAAGCTGCAGGCCCGCCTCCTCGAGCTTGCCGAGGAGACTGCCGACGCCGACCGCTCGCGGTCGTCGACGATGCTGCTGGGACCCGAGGCCGCTGCCCTCGCTGCGCCCACCGACACCGAGTACGCCAACCTTGAGGCCGAGTACAACGAGGTTATCGACGAGCTCGACGAGCTCCGTACCCAGGCTGCACGCGATGCCGAGGCCATGGAGTTTGAGCTGGAGTCGTTCAAGTCCAAGCTCATTGCCGCCGAGTCCACCATTGCCCAGCTGCAGCGCGAGTCTGGCGAGACGCTCCACGACGCCCAGTCGTCGGCCAAGCTCCGTGCCGAGCTCATTGCCGCCCAGCAGGCCGCCACTGATGCCCGCACTCACTCCAGCTTTGTCGAAAGCCAGGCCGCAGACCGCAGTCGGGTCCTCGATGCCCAGCTCGCTTCCGTCCGCTCGCAACTTGCCATTGTCGAGAGCGAGCGCGACGACGCCCACCGCAAGCTCGACGATGCACTTCGTTCGCTCAACCGCGAGCGCGATGCCCATGAGCGCGACAACAAGCTCCATGCCAAGGAAGTGGACGAGCTGCACGAGGCCAAGGCAGAGCTTGAAGCCAAACTCGAGAAGGACGAGGAGACCATCGCGGAGCTGCGGAGCAAGCTTGTCCTCGCCAACTCGGTTGGTCTCAACGTCTCGTCGGTGGTCGGCAAAGCGGACTCATCACGACTGGTTTCGATGAATGGTGGCGCCAACGACGCGTCGTCACCAGCGCGAAGCTACCCCAAGGGCTCGCTCTCGCACTCCGAGTCGGACATTGTTTCCGCCTCTGCCTCGCACTCGGTCAATTCGCAATTGCACTCGGGCCCGGTCGCCTTTTCACCGCGCATGTCCACCAGCTCTGGCTCGTCCGACAACGGCCCGAGCCACTCGGCTTCAGCCTCCGCCTCGGACGCCGACGATGCTGACCGCTCACGCAGCAGCGCAAGCCGCAGCAAAAGCGAGTGCGAAAGCGGGAGCCGCAGCCGCAGTTCATCATCCGCAGGTGTGGACGCCAACGCCAGTGCCGACGCCGACGCCGACGCCAGGGTCTCGGTTACTGTCGAAAAGTCTGCATCGAATACTACAGTCGGCGGCGAGGAGTCGTCTACCAAGATTTCGGTCGAGGTGTCGGCCTCCGCTTCGGCCTCCGCATCCGCATCAGCCTCCCTTCCTAAGCCCGATGCCGAGCCGACCGTGACGACTGCAGCCGCGGAAGCCAGCGCAGATGCGAGTGGAGATGCAAGTGTAGATGCGAGTGCCGAGGCAGACGCAAGCGCAAGCGGGAGTCACGACCCGCCCAAGTCGCCACTCGCACTGCGGCGCGGAAGCGGGTCTGCTGTCCTCGACCAGGCCGACGGACTGTCGACGCGGTCCGACGCGCGTGCAATGCTCCGCCGCCGGCAGGATGTCGAAGTGCTGCAGGCAATGGCCGCCATCCCCATCGACGTGGTCGACAAGCTGCTTGCGGCGGACGCTGCCGAGCTCAACTTTGACGACTTTTGCACCGCTGTCGCCAACTCGGCACTTGGCTCAGCGGTGGCAGATCCGGCGGTGGCCCAGTCGATGTTCGACATGGTCGATGCCGACCACTCGGGTGGCGTCGACAAGAAAGAGCTCGTGGCTGTGCTCGCCGTCTTTTCGTCGAACGAGGACGTCGATCGCAAGCTCAAGCTTGCCTTTGACGCCTACGATGTCTCCAACGACGGTT